GGGCCTTACAGTCATTAACAAACCTGGGTTTTTGCTGTCTGTGTGCAGACCGTCTCTACCCCCGCATCGGCTGAAATATTTTGGATGGTGTTCGTGTATATGCTACTTAACGGCGAAATAAAGATAACGGGAGGACGTTCTACTCGGAGCTTGGAAGATAGCAAAAATTTAAACACATTTACTTATTCCCATAAATTATATTTAAAAGCATTAAGAGGATGGAAAATTATAAAAAAGTTTTTTTGATGTTCGTATGGTTAACTTGCTTAATCATCTGGAGACAACATTAGTAAACGCACATGCTAAGGGCTCCAAGTTGGAAAAAGCCCTACTTGCGAGTTTACAGCTTTCTCGTATTGCCCGTCTTGCCCACCGAGGCATAGATATATATTCGTTGCGTAGTGTGTTCTCGAAAATGACATGATTCAAGCCAGGAAAACGCAGGTCTGTCAGATGAATCCGAATTGTCTTCTGAAACGCAGGCTTTGATGTGATGAAGGCCTCTGCGTAGACGTCACTAACGTTGTAACGGTATTGTTTTATAGCGTAATGCAACACGCTGGGACTTGGTTTTTGAACCAAGGGCTGAAAGAAATGTTAACTGACATAAACTGGTGCAAATTAAATTAACCATGTAGAAAAATTATAAATTGCTTACATCTATTGAGAAAGTGACAGTTGCCGACGGAAATATAAGAGAGCAGTTGAATATAATAAAACCTCCTGTACTTGGTTTAGTGTAAATCCCACAGGTGTTAACACTTGGTGTCGTCGGGAATTTCATTGTAAATAAGGTAGGAATCGTCCTTTCAAACGATTCTTCGTAATGCATTGAACGCACGGAACCGAGAAGGCTTTCAACCAAATGATCAAGTATTCTTTCAGAGTGTGGAAAACGTGCGCTCACCTGGGCTAGAAAACCAATGCACTGGACCCGTCAGCTATATTGTCAGTATAAAAAAACTTAGAGAGAGTAGTAATTATGAAGAAAATATATTTAAACTAGGCGGCTGTTTTAAATCTGATTCGTATTAAATGAATAATTTTACAGTCTTTAGAAAGGGCAAACGATTAAATTCGAAGTATGTTCACTCGTGTTTGGAAGTCCGAATATACCGAGATAATGTTTCATATGAAACGAATTGTCAAAGCAAAAATGCCATATTACCAGTTGCCTTGACGTTTTGTCGTTTGCATGCTTGTCCAGCGACCACAAAAAACAATACGCACGGCCTCAGGAGTCCGCATATTTGAAGTATCAAACCTTCAAGACGATGGACGTTGGTAGACATTTTTCAGTGACTTTAGATGTTAGAATTTATGAGGGAAAATGTCTCTTATTGAGTGTGCGCGCAAACGTGCCATATATATATAATAGTGTCGTGCCAAACAAAATCCTTCTCGCTATTCCGACGACGGCAGCCCTGTTTGTGCTCTGTACACGGCAGCGCGCTCATTAAGCCGATATATATATTGGGCTGGTTATGAAATAGCACACTCCGACCAGGGTTCAGGCCAATTTGATTTGCAGCGCTTTAGGCGATCAACTCAGACAAGTTTTGCTGGTTAACATACAGTGATAAAAGGCCTGCTCCTAAAAATTCGCACTCGAGGATTGACTGGTAATTGCTTTAGCTGATTGTGAAGATATTTTGGGTGTTTTAAGAATTGCGTGCAAAGATTGTCGTCAAGGTTAAAGGAAGACTACCCAAAGCTGTTTGAATAAGTAGGTTGAGATCAACAAGCCCATATTATGGTTCAGACCTGTTAGACATTTTCCTTTTTTCCATAAATAACGAAATCGTTCTGATGGCTTGTTCGTTTTTTATTCCCTAATATGTATTTCAATTTCGTTTATTTCTCCTTCTTACCTATTAATTAGATTTCGCAAAAGTCTTTCCCATAAAGGATAAAAGTAAAAATGTTTATCTTAAGTTCATTCCAATCAATGGTGCTGTCAAGTTGTATCGAAGAACCTATTGAAAATAACGCTTTTCTGGAAAGCAGCAAAGTTTCATTCGTATACATTACCACATAAAACGTCTTCGTGGTTAAGAGCAGGACCCGTTTGCGGATAGAAACAACCTTATAAATCATGAACGGTTCCGACTACCCGGATGTGGCCGCCGTTGTCTGCGTTCTTTAACAGATATACTGTTCAGTTCAGAGTAAGCACAAAATAAGGGTCATTGAAATAAAAAAAAGTGACCGAGGAATTTAGACGATCATTTAGGGCAAAAAATGTGTTGCGCATTCTATTTCTCCACCTAACCCGTTAAATCAAATGTCGTTTACATGCAGGTCTAGTTTGTGAGTATTTTGCTGTGGCATCAGTTCAAAAACCTCTTTGTAGATTGTGTGACCATACCGCTGCTAAACCGCTCTCACAGGACCCGTCTCCTCATCTTGCTCTATGCAGCTAATGACCGTTTTCATTTATCATGCCAGTCTGCCACAGATTTGTTCTGGGTAGCTTAGTGTTAACCATCCTGAAAGATTCAGTCGTATGTCTCATATATGCCCGTTTTTTTTCCTATGAAGAGCATAATGCCTTTCATCATCTTCCGTCTTCTTCTTCTTCTTCTTCTTCTTCTGCTTCTTCTTCTTCTTCTTCTTCTTCTTCTTCTTCTTCTTTTTCTTCTTCCTCTCTATTCTTCTTCTTCTTATTCTGCTTTTTCTTCCTTGTCTTCTTCTTATTATTATTATTATTTTTCTTCTTCTTCTTCTTTCACCTCTTCTTCTTCTTCTTCCGTGTTTTTTTTCTTATTCTTCTTCTTATTCTGTTCTTTCCCTTTTCTTTTCATCTTCTTTCTCTTCTTTTTCTTTGAGCTTGATTTTTGACTTTCAGCAAACTGCATTTTATACCGCAGCGTGTATGCCTATTCTCACAGGTATTGTATTTGTCGCACAATGTAGATTCAAACTGATAGGAAATTTCGCACACGCCAGGAATTGAGACAACTTGAAGATAAGGAAGGTGAAGTACTTTGGGAAACAGCAAATATAATTGTGTAAATTTTCGAGACTGGTTCCCCTGCTCGTCTTCAGACAGCGGGTGTGCAAAAACACTTAACTTCTTAACTGAGTCTGACAAAGTGATTCCATGATTGTTTAAGGTTATAATCTCTTGATTTGTTGATTCAGTTTGAATCTGTCCTTAACGATTTTGTATGCGGCATCTTAATCGATATGCCAGTTGAAAAATTGCCTCCAGGAATTCGCGACGTTTCTTTGTTGGGTAGGCGCCAACGATGCAAGTATTTTCCCGTGAAAATTTGTGCCCAGTGTCCAGTGTGCGCATGGCCACCTGGGAAAGATATTCCTTATCAAAAACCGACAAGGCAACGGGCTCGTGGCCCGGTGAGTAGAGACGTTGACTTTTAAACCAACAGGTCGCGAGTTCAAGGCTCGGGTGTTCCACACTTCGGGATTGGGTATGGCTGGCTAACGACGGCTAATAAGCCAGAAATGGCCATTGCAGTCTCCCTTGTCTTTGTCGGCAATACCATTCTGCCTATATATATCTTCAAAGAGAAGTGGCGTCAAGGTGAAGTCCCGCAAGATTTCAAATACGCAACAATCGTGCATCTCTAAAAGCGCAAAGGGAATCGCCACGTCTGTGACAATCACCGCGGCATCTCGCTGCTGAACATCGCCGTGAAGCTCTTCGCCCGCATCCTTCTTAACGGCCTCAATAACCATCTGAAACAGGGCCTTCTGCCGGAAAGCCAATGCGGCTTACGTCGTCATCGAGGGACCACAGATATGATCTTCGCCGACCGTCAACTTCAGAAGAAGTGTCAGGAGATGCGGACCCACCTCTTCTCTACCTTCGTGGGCCTGACTATAGCCTTTGATACAGTTAATCGTGAAGGATTGTGGAAGATCATGCAAAAATTCGGCTGTCTGGAGCGATACACTCAGGTGTTACGTCAGCTGTATGACGGTACGATGGCGCGAGACACGGACAACGAAGCTGTCTCAGAGGCATTCGCAGTGACCATTTGAGTGAAGCAGGGCTGCGTACAGTGCGTGACCTATCTCATGAAATGTTGGCTGAAATTTTGAAATGCGTTTTCGATTGGGAAGGATTACTTGGTCGGGGTTGTGATACTGATTATCTTAAGGCATACTCTTATAACAGTTTGAGCTCGGTAGGACGTCGGCTTTTAAATGCACTTCTTTTCAATCTCCTGTAAAAATCTTGCTCTGTAAAAAATGTCTAGTTATTTAGCATGCATTTTTCCCATTGATTTTCGATGGTCTTGGAAATTCAAATGTATTTCATAGAAACCACAAACAAAAATACGCTTTCTTTTAGTCAATTAATAGAAACTAACGTCTTCTTCATATTTTATACTTAACGAAGGAGTATAATTAGTTTTAAAAAAAGTTTACTAATTGCCGAAAAATTTGGAGCCTGATCATTGGTTGCATTAGCGCTTAGTGATTACACTCTACAAGGAGCATGCTTTCCGCGTAAAGAAAATCCCATATTTTTCTATGTCATTAAAGAGATATCATACAGGGTTCATAAAATTTTGCAATGGATGCGGACCATGTTGTACATTTCATGAGGAGCAGTGGTAAACGTCCAGGTACGATGCTATGTGAATGCAAATATCTCGGTCTTATAAAGTCTCATAATTAGAAACTTTTTAAAACCCAATTATACTCCTTCCTTAAGTATAAAATATAAAGAAGACGTGATTCTTTATTGATTGATTAAAAGAAAGCATATTTTTTTGTGGTTTCTATAAACTATATTTGAATTTCCTAGACCATCGATAATCAATGGGAAAACTGCATGCTAAATAATTAGTGCATTTTGAAGCGGACATCCTGCCGAGTTGAAAATGTTATAAGAGTATGCCTTAAGATAATCAGTATCACAACCGCGACCAAGTAATCCTTCCTAATCGAAAACGCATTTCAGAATTTCAGTCAACATTTCATGAGATAGGTCACTCGCTGTACTGGCGCCCAACGGCTTCAGTCTTATGTTCTCTGCCATGCTGATGGACGCCTACCGCGACGAACGCTCCGGGATCCGCATCGCCTCCAGGACGGACGGTTACCTCCTGAATCAACGGTGGATGCACTTCCAATCGCGCTTATCCACAACCACCGTTCACGAACTTCTCTTCGTCGGCGACTGCGCCCTGAACACCACCTCGGAAGAGGAGATTCAACGGGGCATGGACCTGTTCTCCGACGCCTGCGAGAACTTCGGTCTGGTCATTAACACACAGAAGACAGTAGTGATGCACCAACCGCCACCCAACTCAGACCCAGTCCCCAACGCGCCGCCGCAAATCAGCGTGAACGGAACCCAACTGCAAGTGCTGGAGAACTTCCCGTATTCGCGGATACTTGGCTCTGTGATCATCTGAAGTATTTATTTCTTTGCATTGTTTGTGACTTAACAGCAGGTACAATTTTGTACGTGTGAACGCCGATAATTCTACAATGTCGTTTGATAATTTTGGAGATCCTGCGATCATCTCTCACAGACGTGCGCTTTTTTTCTACTGGGTTTAAAATATTTTATCAGAAAATTGAAAGATAACCAACTAACTATGACAGCTAATCTAAACAACTTGTAGCATTGTCCAGTTATTCTATATTCAGTAACCACTTAATGCCTATACTCAAAGGCGTCTTTTCTACATGGTTTCTGTACGCAAATATTAAGCAGCTATTGGCGAATGTAAGTGAATAAAAATTCGAAGTAATTTTGATTACTGTATGAAGAAGATGAATGTTCATCAGGGGTATTGTTAACGCACGACATTCTAAAGAATTGTGCTTCAACGGATTGAGATACAATAAAGCAATCACTTATTATCGGTTCATGTAGTAATCGGAAGACTTAATATGTTGCAGTTTCCCCACCGTGCCATTTATGCCAGTAAGGCGCAAATTCTCCCCTATACGCGTACACGGAGTTGGCGCTATAAATGCAACATATGCGAGCTTTCAGCACGTTGTTAAAAGTAAATAATGCAAATTACATTGCTCAACAGTCCTACCCGGCCAGCAACTCATACATTTTCCAAAACAAATGGTTTGATACTTTAAAACCAATAAGTCCCGCATTCCAACAGTTATAAGCACTACTTCATCAAACGCTAAACGCATATTGCATACCGAGGAGGAAATTTTTTTAATGAAAACGTATGAATCACAGCACATTACTACTGTGTGCTTTCGATACTGTGATATGTCATACATGATTCTACAGTGACTTTGGCTTCATTTTTATGTAAAAAGATGCTTAAAATGCCTTCCATCTAAACGATATACTTATCCCCTCTGGATTCCTACCCGGCTTAATTAGTTAGCGCTAGCTGTCTTTCGTGATGGCTAAAATCCAGGTGCACGCCTCAGCTGTTATCAGCGTTTGTATGCGTGTCACGGTGTTGTTGCCACTGCTGCTAGCACTGGCTAGCTCAGGTCAGGCGGGGTCGAGTTGTCAGATGTGTTCACCCCACAACTCAACCTACCTACAGCCACGTCTATCCAGCTGACTGATGTCTGCATCGCCTAAATGCACTTCTTCACCTCTACGCAGACAACCTCCATCTATGCACACCTAGACGCTAGACACCCAGCTAGTTCGCACACGCACCTAGATGCGACAATTCACAAAAACTCTCCTGTTCATACATGGGTAAACCGATCGATAAAACACGACCTTTTTCACTAGTCCTTTTACACTACGTCTTGAGCCCATCGTCAGGGACAACATCCCATTTGTAGATGAACATCAATCTTGACAGCGATATAGCATTGTTTACGACCTAATCAATATTCTCGAGTACTGAAATCTGCAGTAGTTAGGTGCTGTCCTCACAGTGTTAGCGAGTCATTGTTGAGTTGGATCAGATACTGGCTTGAAATGCATGATATTTACACTCAAAATATTTTGTTTAAGATGGGAATGTTGGTAAACAGGACACATTTAAAACGCTGTAGTAAAATACTTTCACTAATTCATTACTTATAACTTAGTTTGAGGAATTTAGCTTGTGTTTTGGAAAGAAGAAGAGTTCGCTCTCGAGCCTCTGCTCATTCTCTAATTTTCCAATACATTTGGGTGAGAAACGGTTATCTTACAAGTTGCGATGTTTCACTCTAAGATATATCTTGTCATTATTTAAGGATGCTAATTTCAGGCAGTTTATAACTGAGCATGCTCGGCGTAGGTGTTCCATAATCGCATTCCACGTTCTGAGACTCGAAGTGCATATAAGACGTAAGAAATACATTTGCCTTATTTTTGTACTTGTAGACAGAAATGTATACTGGGACTTTAACACATGTGGCGTCTGTGACAACTGGTTTTTTTTAAAGTAAGCTTAGATGTTTTATGACCCCAGCCCAGTTGGTGTCACTGTGAACGTCAGTCAGACTGCTGATGCCAGGTCACGTAATAAATATTTCTTTCGCCAACTTCGGAAGATGACGACAACGTCCCCCAGCGATGACGGAACCAATGTTGAGCTAAAATAGCGACCTCCATGAAACTCGCCTTTTACGTTGTTGACACGGAAAATCTACCGGGTCAAAAGTAGGCTCTCTAAAGTAAGTGATTTTAGTTCGCGACGCAGATGGCTACATTATTTCTGACAATAGGCCAAATTCGGGCGCTGGCGTGAGCATTTCGAGCACCGTCTCAACTTCAATATACAACCCATCTCGCACTTTTAATCTTTTTGCGCAGAGTTTCTTCTATCCAGCCTATGCAGTGCCATGCGATCTCCCTTATCAAGAAGAGGTCGCCGATGCCACATGAAACCTACGCGACAACAGGGCACGCGGACAGGACAGTATACCTGCTGACATCTACAAGCTTGTTTCGACAATTTGGACTCATTATGACTTGAACTTAGGCATCCATGTGTATCGCCAACACTCATCTCATGAGCAAGGCCTATTATAACTGCACTCCTGTGAGAGTCCCGGTTCGCAACAATCTTTCCCAACCTCACGCTATTCGGTTTGGTGTCCGACAGGGTTTCACCTAGTCACCAATTCCGATGAATTACGATATTGTCTAAAGTCTCGTAAGGGCTCTACGTGAAGGTGACGGCGTTAAATTTGCACACTTTCTGATCATCCTTAGATTAAAGAACACCGACTTTGCCTCAAATGAAACAGTCCGCACTCGCTGTGACAAAGTTGCAATGATAATGCTTATCATCCCGGAAGACGACTGAGTTGGAATGGGCATGATTTTGTCGTCCACCTTAGGAGCTCAGTTTTACAGCCCTCTATCCCGCACCGTTACGACATTGAAGGCATCGAAGTGTGGATTAACTCAATTCCAGGCTCGACAAAGTTCATCAATATATGGAAGTGGTTCCTTGCCCTTCGGTATTCGGTCTCCGTCTTTGGCGTAGAAAATGCCCAGATCTGCCGCATCGGGTTTTCGGACGTAGAGAGGTATATTTTGGGGCATCATCGAGGCCGGCTAGATCAGGCATGTTCGCAGCGGTACCAAGTATAAGTAAGCACATCCTTTATGCGCATTTAAAAACTATTACTGGGGTGAAGCTATCGGTTGCTAATGTCGACGCGGCAGTCGGGACTTCCCGTTTAATCGAAAGACACTGTCACTGTAGGATAAAATCTGCCTCGGGGAAAATGGAATTTGATCGACATGTTCTGGCCGATCAGTGTACGTCAAGATGACACACAAGCTTTTATATCAAAGCAGATAGGAATGAGTTATACACAAACCGCAAAGGGGAACGCCTGCATCGTCGATGTGCGGAGGATAACAGGAAATTTCAGTGACGTGGTGAGGAACACTTGTCCTAGGACACCAATTTCGGATAAGATATCCATTAGAGAATATAGGGAGTTAAGTGTGAAACATTGTATTATAGTGTTTCCAGACCATTAGAAAAGACAAAACGAATGCATTGTATGCCTTATACCACTGGAGTATTGAAATATGTCTAAACCGCAAAGACTTCGACTATGCTTAAGGCAGATTACGTCATTTCGTTCCTTATGCGCAAAGATTCCGTAATACTATAGGTAGGCTAACTCACAAAATGACGGTCAAGTTTTCGGAATGCGTTGTTGCTTTGAAAAATAAAGTTAGTTTGGTTGTTAAATTAATTAGCGTGCAGCACAGTTTTATCATAAATGATTTACCAAAGAATGCCGGCTTCTTTTATTCCGTCTGCATGCAGAAAACATTTTTCCGTAGCATAAATTTTTCCTATTGATGTTCGCTGTCCTTTACATTTTATGATATTTCATAGCAAACATGCAATGAACCATTCATTATTTTGTTCATTCCGCAGAAAACAACGTCTTTCACCGATTTATGATCCTAAAAGGAGTATAATTCGGTTTTGAGTAGTTTTCGATTGTGAGATTTTTCATGCTCAGCATTTGTCAGTATGGCTTAAAAGTTAAAAATGCGATTTACCTCCACTGCTAAATTTTATGAAACCCATATGGTTTCCTCTCAATACTCTAGGGAAATGTATAATTTTCTGTACACATAAAATATACGGCTTGTAGACTGGAAGTCAAAAATGGACTTTTAACGGCAAGTAGGGTTCAACATTATTCGGAAGTTGGATAAGTTTATAATTATGAGCCTTTTTAAGACCGCGAAATGTCCATTCACATAACATCGTGCCTGGCCGTTTACCGCTGCTCCTCATGAAATGTACAACATGGTTGGCACCCATTGCAAAATATTATGGACTCTGAATGCAATCTCTTTAATGCCATAAAAATGTGTGATTTTCTTTACGCAGAACGTATGCGCCTCGTTGACTGAAATCACTAAGCGCTAATGCAATGAATGATCTGGCACCAAATTATTCGGCAATTGGGAAACTTTTTTATACCTGATTATACTCCTTTCTTAACTAAAAAATAAAAAGACGACGTGATTCTCTATTGATTGACTAAAAGAAAGCATATTTTTGTTTATGGTTTCTATAAAATATATTTGAATTTCCAAGACCATCGAAAATCAATGTGAAAAATGCACGCTACTTAAGTAGTCATTTTTTACCAAGCACGCTTTCTACAGGAGATTGAAAAGAAGTTCATTTAAAAGCTAAGTCCGAAATGTTATAAGAGTATGCCTTAAGATAATCAGTATTACAACACCGATCAAGTAATCCTTCCTAATCGAAAACGTATTTCAGAATTTCAGCCAACATTTCATGAGATCGGTCACTCACTGTAGGTTCCCGTACCAGGTCATTTACATAGATAATAAATAGGAGCGGTCCAAGAACTGACCCCTGTTGGACTCCAATTGTAACAAGTGTCTATTCAGAGCGGTATCCACCCGCAGTGACGTTTTGTCTACGACCTTTTAGGAAATCTTGAAACCAGTCCAGAAGATTTTCTC